AGGGAACTGCAGCGCCCTGGGGGGGAGGGGGGGCGGGATAACATGCTGAAAGAGGCTTGCAGAGCTACCAGCCCCCAACCTGCAGACCAGACACTGGGCGATGCCAATTAAGGGGCTGGTGACAGCCATCTATGGGATGGGATGACACACGTCAAGACCTCCACATGAGTTAGAAATACACTAAGCGCACACAGTTTGTTTCTAGTGTGACAAAGACAGGCAGGGGCAGCCCAATAGAGCAACACCCGCCCGACCCTCTCCCCAGGGACCATGGGGCAGTGACAGCCCACAGCCCTGTAGCATTTCTATGCTCTTAAAAGCGCTGTTAAGCACAATAGTACTTGCTAAAAAACCCTAAGTATTACTGGGTCACCAGGCATCCTCTATGCCCAGAGCTTGGTGGGGACGAGCAGCATTGCCCAGCTTACCCTGCAGCTGCTGTGAGTTTGTCAACTTAAAGGAATAACCTTGGGTTGCCCTCACTGTCCTCACAGCGTCTGTCCTAAGTTAGCAGCAGAGCACCCTCAGTCATGATGGAGATGCTTTGGCACTGGTCTAGCAGGGAGCCCGAGTGAGCTGGGACGCCTGGGCTTCTCACTGGCGCTGTGCATGTCACATCTGAGTGGAGATGGCCCCCAATAGCCCAGGCTACAGGCCCAGGTGTCAAGCATGGCAAGCGGAAGGCCTGGGCAGCTGGCTGTGCTGTGTCCTGTCCTGACGCTGTCAGACTCATGAGAGGAACCTCCTCGGTGACGGAGTGCCAGACAAATTTTCTAATGGATTGGGACAGAGTCCCAGTTACTTTAAGCAGCCAGTTGGCCTCCCCACATACAGGCCCTGTGACACGTGGCTGCAGCTCGGGGCTGGTGTCACAAGGGCCCTGGAACTTTCTGTGGAGCCAGGAAGTAAAGACACCGAAGCCTGGGAAGGAGTTCCCAATGACCAGCACCGGAGCAATGAGCAGCAAGATTACCAAGGAGGTGGACATGACTCAGCACAAAATAAAGATCCGAAGCCCATCTGATACAAGCAAACGGAGGCAGAGTCGGCTCCTACACAAGAACTAAGCTGATGAGAGAGACCAGGAGGCCCTGTGGCAGGAAAATCAGTTGGTATAAACCCAAGGGAAACAGGATGTGGGCACTGTCGCCACAGAAGGGCAACGATGGCCATGCCATGACAAGTCCAGCGCATATGGCGCCTTCAACCAGGGACGTTTGCATCACCCAGGACCTATGCTATTGCTGACAAAAAACATGTAATCATGAGAAACTCCAAGTGAAAGACATTCTACCAGACATGCAACCTCCAGGAGAATGTGAAAGCCAGAGAGGTGGGCGGAGGAGCTGGCACTGGCTGGCAGGAGAGGAGGCTGGGCCAAGGGCGCCCAAGGGACCCTCACCGGCACACGATGTAGCGGATGACGTTGGCATGGCATATGAAGATCTCATAGCTATCCTCCTGCTGTTTGGCATCTGCCCGGTGGATGTAGTTCCGGAAGGCGGCCTCGATCCTGGCTCCATCTTCGTAATACTGCTGGGGGCAGAGTGAAGCACCTAAGCCTGGAAGTGGCCAGCCAGGAGTGGAGGGAGCAGGGGGAGCTGCCCAGGGTGAGGAGCCAGCAAGGAACAGGAAAGGAAACCACCACTGTAGGGGCATTTTACCACAGCCTCCGGCTTCCAGTGAGACACAGGTGGGTCAGGCTCGATGGGGGCGCCTTCCCTCAGCATGTCTGTGCTGACCGTGGAGACACCTGCGGGGCAGCAGTGACTCAGCACAGTGACTACGTGTCCCTTCAAGCTGCTGAGGGACCTGAGGAGGGCCACACTCACCTGGCAGGTGTTTGCTGATGATGTCGGTGGTTTCTACTGCGCGGGTCATGGAGGAATGCACAATTTTATTAAACTTCAACCCCAAGCTTGCGAGTCGGAGACCCGTTAGCTCAGCCTGTTCACGACCTTAAAGGTGAAACACGGAGAATCACATACCACTGGAGTCCCTCCTGCTTACCCCACAAATACTTCAGTCCTACCAAGTACCCTTAAGGTCAGAGGACAAGAGATAAAACAATGAGACAATCTAGTTACCTTCAGCCCCATGCAGAAAAAATTAAAAACAATGACAAAGATAGAGAATCTCTAAATGTCTGGGTGGGGTCCTGCCTAGTGTTTCTGAGCCCCTGAAACCAATCTCACTCAACTTTGTACAAAGACTGAGTCTGGAACAGGCTGGCTGTGCAACCACAGATGTGAACACGGGTGTCGTCACCTGTGGCAAGACGCCCTGCACAGGCAGCCTCGTTTACTTGTGCTGCACAGACATTTCGTTTTTTACAAATTGAAGGCAAGACGCTCCACCAGCAAAAAATTACAACTGGCTCTACTGCTGTGGTCTGGAACCACACCCACAGTATCTCTGAGGTCTGCCTGGAATGTGTTTTTAAAGTTGCAGACGTTTTCAAAGCCTGTGTCAGAGGCTGATAACTACCGATAATGACAATGCTCAGATCTGGGCCAAGGGTGCCTGGCACAGGTCCAAGGAGGCCAGCCCCAGGGGTCAGTTGGGGCTGAGCCCTCACCACGGACTTACCCAGAGGTGTAAGGGTGCGGTCCTTTTCCCGGGAGGCGTCCATGTGGTACTGGGAGTGTCTGATGAGGAAGATGTGCCGCGTGGCCTTGGTCTTGTAGTGGTCTATCCTGGTCACAACGTCATCGTCCCCAGAGTCCAGGTTCCTCTTCCGCAGGTTGACAAGGGAGAGTGGTTCCCGCCTAACGTTGAAACAAGAGACAGGGTGTCCTTGTGACCCCTCGTCACACATAACCCTTAAATATTTCTGACAAGACATTTCTCTGTCCTGGGAAAGCACCTGGAGGAGCCAATGCCCTTGCCCAACCCAAAGCTTAGTGCTAGGCCTGTTGTGGGCAACCAGACAGGGAGCAAAACAGATACAAGAAGCCCGTGTGAAACTTACTCTGTAGGGACAGACTGATAACAGCAGGGTGACCAGTGATGGAGAAACAAAGCCAGGTAATAAGGAGTGGCTATAAGAAGGCGGCCAGAACTACCTCGATGAAGGGGACACTGAGGCCGAGTCTGGAACTGTGCTGTCCAATAGCCATTAGCTATGTGGCTACTTAATTCAAAATAATGAAAATGAAATGAAACTGAAACTCCACTTCCCCATTCACACTAAGCACATTTTAAATGATCAGTAGCACGTGGGGCATGAGGAGGAAATGTTCCCATTATGGAACATATTGGATGGCACCCTGGAATGTTGGGAACTAATGGGGGGGGGGGCAGGGACACATCAGCAAGGCCACTGAGAAGCGACATGTAATGACAGGCATATCTGGTGTCTCAAAGGACTGAAGTTAATAGAAACGTCTGTGATGCTGGCAGAGCCGGGATAAGAAAATACTCAGCTGGAATAAGTTCTGGGGCAGCAGTGGTTCTAGGCTCTACCTGGGCCGTGCAAAGCCCATGGTGCCCATAACAACCAGGGGGCAAGGCCACAATGGCAGGTGTGTGGGAGCCAGGGCTGACCCAGAGAAGACACCTAGGAGCTGCAGGCACAGACAAGAAGCCTGCACTGGGTGAGGTTCCTAGGAAGAGACTGCAGATTTGGGACTTCCCAGCACGGACAGTTCCCCCTCTGAATCCAGGCTTCAACCTCAGAGTGAACCTGTTTCCTTAAGACGGCCTAAGGCATTTGGAAGATTATACTGATGTCTGCAAAAGAGATGGTCCCTGTCTAATCGTGAAAAACAGACAAATCTCAACTGAGGGACATTCTACAAACTGTCTCAGTCATCAAAACAAAAAGTGAGAAACTGTCACAGCCAAGAGGAGCCTGAGGAGACACAAGGACTGTCATGTGGGACTCTGGAAGAGACAATGGACCTGAGTTAATAAAGCATGGGCGTCGCTGACTGTGACAAAAGTGACACGCTACTGCACGATGTTAATAATGGAGAAAATTAAGTGTGGAAAGCACAGGAACCGCCATCTCTGCAATTCTCCTGCAAATCTAAAACTATTAAAAATAAGTTTATCTTTTAAAAGGTTAAAATAAAGAATCCCTACTGCACTCCTGATACAACCAGGCTAAGAGTAAACGTTAGTCCTGTGCCCCTCACCCAGCAGAGTGTCCCTCGGGAGCTAGGATGTTTGTCCAATAGAAACACAACACCAGCAAGGCTGGTAATTTTAAACTTCCAAGGAGGCACATGTAGAGAGTAGGAAGAAACGGCCGCAATTTCAGTAACTCACTTTATTTAATCCGACGTGTCACAAGTACTGTCAGCACATAAGTACTACATATCTGCACTGCTTTGGTTTTAAATTTTAAATTAACAGTAAATGAGACTAAAAATTGCTTCCTGATCACGGCAGTCACCTTTCAAGTGCTGAATGAGGACACGTGGCTGGGGCCAGGGACTGACCCGAGGTCCCCGAGGCCTCTGCTCGTCACCCCGCGCGCCCTCCCCGCAGAGCCCCGCAAGCGCCCCCTCGACACCCACGCGCCGCCTCTCAGCGCCGGGCAGGGACCGGCGGCCACCTCCACCCCGGGGAGCCGGAAGTCGAGGGAGGGAAAAACCGTGACAGCGCCACCGCGAGGTCCTCTGCCTAGTGGACCTGAAAGCGACCACTTGGGTCAAAATGACCACTATCGCGGCCCCCACCTACTCGCTCCGCGAAACGACCCTCTGGGCAGACGCGGGGGCGGGGGTCGCCCCACATCACAGCCCGAGACCCCGCACAAAGGACGCCTCCCTCTGCTGAACCGACCCCATCAGACCGAGCGGAGCGGCCAGGGACCGG